GTGGGATTCCCACTCATTCTCACAACTTCTCACTCTCACAAGGATGGGGCTGGCCTGGGCAAAAAGAACAAAGGAAACACAGTGGTGCTGACCTGAGAACACACCACCCTCGCTTTCATACTTACCTTTGCATTCAGCAAAGCTTCAAATCAGACAGAGATTGTTCTTGTTTAGAAATCCAAATTTAGACATCCAAATGTATATCAAAGAATTCAAATATCTAACCTCAAGTTAGAGTGCTGCTGCCACTCCCATTTAAATTCCACAGAAGCTGCAGCATACTCACACTGTTGAAATTAGGCATTTATGTAACTGTCCAAATAGAAAAATAAAGACTTTAAAAAAAAAGCCTTAACACTGAGAGCAGTTTGTTAACTAAACAACAGTCCTCTCTGCCTTGTGGCTTTTTTTTTTTTTCCTTAAATGATCAAATTACAAGTGTTATCCTCAATCACTCACTCAGGATTTAGGCTTGAGCTAATTGCAGAGGATACAAAGCAACTGTTACAGGGACCTGACAGCAGAGTGCAACAGCAAAATCAATCCTGCCTTTGCACTGCTGATACAGATTGGAGGTAAATTTTTAAATACTGAGCCATCTTTGGATTCTGCAATAAAGAGAGAAAACACTGGAACTGCCAGGGTCCACCTCCCAGGAAGCCTTTTTGCAAGAGTTGCATAGACTGCAGGTGAAGCATCTGGTGTAGTACCCAGGGAACACAAACAGCCTGACCATCTGGAGGAGCTCAGACCCACAAGGCAACATCTGGGAGAGCTTACATCCCCATAAAGAATGAAATCTTAAAACTTTTGTGCACCTTGATTTAGGAAAATAACGAGACTCTGCCGGTAATCAGTAGAGAAGGAGAGACACAATCAGCAAGCACATTGCCCCTGCCCATGAACAGCCCTCTGGGGGAACCCACCAGGAGAGAAGAGGTGAAGCCTCTCTAACTAGTTTGGATTGTGCAAATAATACTAAGGCAGTTAAAATTACTGCATGAAAGATCAGCTTGCCTGCCTATGCAAAGATGAGACCAAGACTGAAGCCTCATCAAGAATCTTTAGTGAGAGCCTGGCTCAAAATCCATCCACTCTCAGTAACCTTCCCACGTACCATGAAAATCTTGAACACTTTTGCAACACAAACTGTAAAATTTGTTAAATAGCCATGCCAGCTTTCAGACTCTCCCAGCATGCTTGACAAAACTACGAATCAACAAAATAAATAAAACAAAAGTAGGGAGTGGCTCTAACTAAATGCCAATTACAGCAAGAAGAAATTCAATCTGCAGGAGCAAGTAACAGCCTTTTCTTCTTCTTTTTTTTTTTTTTTTTGCCTCTTTGTTTTTTCCCTGCTATCTTTATGCTTAAAACTAAAATAGCCAATATACATTTAATGCATGGAATCCCTGCAGTGATATGTACTTGGTAATACTTGACACAAGGGCCTGGGCTAAGTCTCATCAGCAACAATAATTGTTTACCAGACACCAATATCCCATAGGTGTGAAATTAAAACCTGCACAAGTGACACAGAGAAAAAAACTACTGTCCTGGGGTTCACAAGGCAGAAGCACAACTGTGAAATTACTCTGGCAGACACTGGCACAGCTAATAACATGATCCTTTCCATCACACACATTAGAGTCTTCGTGGCATCTGTGATTTGTTAAAACTCCCAATCTGCCACTTCATTCTTAGGACACAAGGAGGAAGCAAGGCTGCACTTTGCCTGCCGGCACATAGCTTGGCTCAGCAGTATTTCTCACATCTCTTCCACCATTTGTGCTACAATACCAGGCAGGTATTAGGGAGCAAGCAAGGAGGAGAGTAATTTCTGTTGCTCACACACATCAGGGGACAGCAGCACAGGCATGCCAGGGAAAATAGCTTTTGTGAGATTCCACAACAGCACCTTCAGAAAAGTGATTCAGGTGCAAAGGTAAACCACTGGAACCAGTTAAATGAACCCTGCATTGCTGAAATGCCAATTGTGCAAAACTGCTGATATTTCGTTTCGATAGATATATTGCATCTGGTGTTTATGGCTTTGTGTTGTTGCCAGAGAGCCCCAGGAGCTTTGGTCTGGGAGCCAGGCCAGTGTCTACCAAGTCAGTTGGACTGCTGTGGATACACAAAGATCCAATATTGCTCTGATTTAAAGCTTTCAGGCAGATTTTTCAGAGACTTTTATTTTATTTATAGCTAGCACGTGTGGAGAGAAATAAAACAGTCATTTAAAATGCTGTGCCACTGTGAGCCTATTTCTTCCAGTTTCACATTTCAATATCTTATTTTGAAGCACAGAGAACTGGAAATCTGGTTATTTCTAAGTAAACATTCATTTGTGGATAGTCAAAGGTTCAGTCAGGGAATGCTTCTCCATGAAGAAAGGAAAAGGCCAGACTTTTGTCACAAAAGCTGGAAATGTGACACTATTTATGCAGATGGTCATGGTTTCTGTTACAGCCATGTAACAGTTAAGTGTTTTCCTTCTCCCACTCCTGATGGCACAGATTCTTGCCCTTCTGTTACAGAAAGCTCTGATGTGTCAATGGAGATGCCCCAGGTATTCTGATTCTTCGAGTTTGAAGGTTTTCTTACACTTGAAGGGATGCTCTCCATCCTTCCCCACAGAAAATCAAAAGAATTCTGATCATTAAATTGCTGAGAGATAAAAAATTTAAAATAGGAGGTTGTAGTCTAATAAAAATCAAACAGAATTAGTAAAAACAAAGAGCTTCTCCTAAGGGAATATTTTAAGTGTCTGCACAGACAAAAATATTAAACAAAAGTGTGCACAACTTTATTTTGTGGGGGCATGCAGAATGCTGGGCCATCTGTTGAAAATGGAAGGCTGCCAAATATCACAGAGTCACACCTTGAGTCTGGAAGCTGAGCCTGCCTGGCAAATCCATACATTTCTTGTGGTGTCTGCATGCCATCAGCCTTTCCTTTACCCACTTCCCTGGCTCCTAAACTGGATTGCTTCGGTTTTTACAAGGGCAGAGCCCAATTCTGCAAAACACCACTGGCTGCTGCAGAGCTGCTGGCAGGACACCTGGCTGCATGCCTGAAGGTTTTCAGAACAAGCAGTATTAGGAAGATTCAGGGTCCCCACTCAAAGCCACTGGCATCAGGAAAAGGCATAACATTGTGTAGTTCAGGAAAAATTCTTCCATCTTCCATTCAGAAAAAGTAATTAACAGGAAAATCCTTAAAGGCTGAACTTTTACATGCCACCAACTTATACCATGGAAAAAACCTTGAGACTTCCATGAATATCTAACTTAATCAAAACTCTGCCATATTTTGATTCATATAAGCCTGTTTCTTGTGTCTTAATCATTGAGAGTATGGGATGAGTCTCCCTAACTTGTAGAGTGGTTAATCAGGTCAGGACTAAGGTAACAACAGTAAAACAACATTTCTGGCAATCTCATTGACATTCCTCACCTTGCCCCATTCTATAGCAGAGAACTTTATGAACATATTGGCTAAACAGTGCAAAAGTCACCATAACAGTTGTTGAGCCTGAAAGGAAATACCTTCCAGCACCTACTGGCAATTGGCAAGATAACTGACACAGACTGCACTGTTTAAAGTTCAGAAACCCATCTGAACATTAATTCTGGATTTCATAAAGTTTCCCCAAATATAAAAGTGATCCTTAAACTCTTCTATAATTTCAGTTGTTTTTTAATGCAGATTCCTGCTGACATACCCATGTTTGGAGAAGTCCTTAGAAAAGTATCTGTTGTCAATACCACACCATTCACCAGCTCAAAAGCCAAATGGATTTCTCAGAACTCCTCCTTGTTTAGCCATCTTTCTCAGTAGTCCTCCCAGTAGGATAGAATGAAATTAAATTTAAACTAGGCTTTAAATTATTTAGTTGGAGATAATTGAGTTTAGAAAGTCATACTGGAGCATGATCACCCCGGGACAAAGCTGAACATGATTTGGGGTGGGGGAGCAGGAGAAGAGAGCTGGCATGTCCTGCCCAGTGAAGGTGTCCCTGCCCATGGCAGGGGGCTTGGAACACTGTGGTCTTTAAGTTCCCTTCCCACCTGAACCATCCTGTAATTCTATGTCACATTAGGTGCAGAAAAGCTCGCATAGTAGAAGGCACAAGCTGCTCTTTCATTTTGGTTGTGCAGAAAATAACTTGCTGCACGCCTAAGAATGGCATCCTTTTTTTTCTTGAAAGAATCAGGCCCTAAGGTGATTGAAAAACCTGGAGAGCAAATTACCTCATTTCTAGAGGGCCTGTATTTTCCAAGTAAAAAAAGCACAAGAAGTTGGGTGTATATTATTAACTTATTGTGATTCCATGAAACCCCCAGTAAGGGACAAAGCCGACTGGGCTTCAGCCGTCTTGGTAAAACCACAGCTTTTAACTTCAGAGTAGCACACACAGATTTCCTTGAGGAAAAGGTATTTTCTGGCTCAGTTACACCTGCATCTCTCGTAAAATGAGTCATTCATATCCACTTTAAGTGGCAACACAGAACGTTCACCATTCTTCCACTCCCCGCTCCCTCTGACCCTCATCGAGGACCATCATTCTCCCGGATTTATCTAGATGGGAAAAGAGCGCTTCTACAGCACCTTTCCTCTGGCCATCATTCCCGTTACCTTCTCAGAAAACCACAGAGTGGAAGAAAAAAAATCCCCTCGGACTGATGCGAAACGAAGCAAAGGGATGCGGGAACTGAGGGCAGCCGCTGGCACCGGCAGCTCCCAGCGCCAGGGCATGGCCACAGCTACGTCCCGCCAATGCCGCGCCCCTGGGGGCTCGGGGTCCGTCCCCGGGGCGGAGGCTCCACTCCCTCCGCCCCAAGCCCGGCATCGCTCCCGCCCCAGCACCGCCATCGTTCCCGCCCCAAGCCCGGCATCGCTCCCGCCCCAGCACCGCCATCGCCCCGGCCCCGTCCCGGCCCCTCAGCCCTGCGGGCGCCACGGCGCCTGCGCGGCCCCGCCGCGGCCTGGGCGCGATGGCGCTGCGTGAGGGGCCCCCGACGCTGCCCGAGCCGCTGCGGCGGCGGCTCGTCTCCTTCAGCAGCTCCGTGTTCAGCGACAGCCACCGCACCGCGCTCGGCGACGGCCCCCGCGCCCCCCCGGGCTTCCCGGGCTACCGCGCAGGTACAGCGCGGCGCCGCCGCCTCGGGCCGGCCGTGCGGGCGGCGCCGGGCCCGGGGCTCTGCTGCGGAGCCGGGGTCGGGCCCGCCGGAGGCAGCGCCCGCAGGAGCTGCTGTGGCCGGTGGCTCTCTCTGTGTGCACCCGGCCTGGCGGGGAGAGCGGTGGCTGCGGCCCAACCCGCGCCCTGTTCAAACCTCTAGCGCGAGAGTAGCCATGGCAGTGCTGCACACAGTGCAGCCTGCACAGAGAGGCTGGCGTGATTTCAGCCCATAAATCCATTCTAAGCCGATCGAATTAATCAACAAGACGTTCTTGTTTCAAGAGAGGAGTTCCTGCTTCCTTTGTGTAGTAACACTGCTAATGCTTACGAGTTCTTAATTTCATTTATCAAACATTTCACCAATAACTTCTATCTTTAGTTTCTTTTTATGTGGCTTGCTGTGTGAAGAATACTCCTGTGTTAATATCCAATTGCAAATTATTGGACATCGGGATTTCAAAAATTCAGTTTTACACATACATATCTTGGAGAGTTGCTGTAGCAACAGCCATTGCAATACTGTCTGGCTTTTGCATTAATCTCAGCAATCCCAGCAAATAAGCATTAATTTAATTTAGGGATAGAAAAAATAATTAGAATTGGCTTATGTTGCTTGAACATTCATCCAAACACAGTTTTAGAATTTGCACAGAATTTATAAATAGCAATGCCATGTCAAGGAAACCTTTAACATACCTAAACATTGGGATGACAATCGAAATTTGAACTCTTGGCTTCTCTGATTTTAAGTAATTTTTTCCTTAAATGTGACCTTGTAGGTCTATTATAAAGTTGTAAGTACAGAATTTACTGCCCACATGTTGGAGTTTGAGAGTTGCTTTTCTCTACATTGAGTTCTGTGATGCAGCTTGTCCTGTACCCGCCTGAAAGGATGAGCTTTAGTTTGACACATATTTGAAACTGTTATCTCTTAAGAATCAAATTACCATCCAAGTGTCTGTTTAAATAAAAGGTTGAAAGTGAAGAGTGGGCCATGCAAGCCTGCTCTCTAGCAGCTCTCTTGACATAAGCCTCAGTCAGAGATGGTGGAGTAAGCTAAAAGCCACCAGGTAATCAACAATTGGACACTCAGCTTGATTATATGACTATATTATAAAAGTGCTCTGTCCCAGGAGCCAAAAGGTGCCTTGGATTCCAGGAAATGATGTAACTCCAGATAGGGTGTGAAGATTTCCTCTGGATAAACAAAAATATTTTTCTTAACATTTTATTTGACTGGGAAGAGTCAAATTACTGCCCTGCATGAAGCTAAGATGGAGCAGTATCCTTCTGTCATATTTACAGCTGGAGTGATAAAATCTTCTTTCTCTCTGTACAGATTGTGAAATCCTTTCCAGTTTGCCACTGCAGATGTCCCTCTATTTCAATGTTTATTTCTTCCCGTTTTGGTGGCTCATCACAGTTGCCATCCTCTACGTGAAGGTGAGAAGGAAGGAAAGTGGTGGTTTGTAAATGTATGTTACATCAGACACGTCCAGGTGTGGGATACAGCTCACTGGAGTTAGAGGTCTTTACACTGATTTGGGAATTCATGGAAACTGAAGGTTCAGGAGTGTTTGAATGCCAATACTGTCAGCTGAGAGTAGCACAGAGCATCTTCATTTAATCACAGACACCACGGCAGAAACTTCTACTTTCTTCTTCCCCTGCAGTATCCAGCCTTATCAGATTATTACAAGTTCATCCTGGTCACCATCATGATCCTGGTCTCTCTGACGGAGCTCATTCGGCTCTACCTGGGATATGTGGGCAATCTGCTGGAGAAAGTAAGTTACCAGAGGGACACAGTAATTTCTGCAAGAATTTCTGCTTTTGGGAGTTGAGCGTTAACTGGCAGGCATTTTACTTGAGAGATTTAAGTTGAGGACATGGTTATTTCTCTTCAGTTGCACTCTGCATTTTCTATTCCCTTGGCATTGGCTTCCACTTAATTTTGTGAATTTCAAGTAGTTTTCCCTCAGAAGAGAGCTCTCTCACTCCCTAATGTTGTTTTGTCAGAAAATACAAGTATGCTTAAAAACACAGGATATGGAAATATGAAGCCACCCCATTTTGCCTTTCCACATTATGTGCCAGCTTTTGGAAAATTAAAAATAAATGTGTTTTGCTCACAAGATTTTGGATTTTTTCATCCCATTCAGCTGTCAGGTTTTTAATAGGTGATGTCTCCCTGTTATAGGTCCCTGAGCTGGCTGGGTTTTGGCTCCTGACTCTCCTCCCACAGTTGCCTATAATTCTCTTCTTGCTATTTAATGAAGGTCTGAAAATCCACTCTCTGGAGCGAGCCGTCCACATCATCTTCGCCGCCTTCCTCTCCTTCCAAGTGGTGGCGGCGTTTTTCGCCCTGAGAAGGATGGTGAACACTCTGGCCACTCGCTTCCGCCTCACCGAGTTCCACCGCCTGGAGGAGCAGCGCCCCGCGCCCGGCCTGTGCAGCCTGGCCGCGGGCAGCGGCTCCCGGGGCTGGTAGGGCCGGAGATCCCGCCCCGAGCAGCCTGGCCGCGGGCAGCGGCTCCCGGGGCTGGTAGGGCCGGAGATCCCGCCCTGAGCAGCCTGGCCGCGGGCAGCGGCTCCCGGGGCTGGTAGGGCCCCGAGCAGCCTCAGGGGGTAACAGAGCCCGGCCCAGTGCAGCCACAATTCTGTTTCCGTTCTGTTGGGTCATTCTTTGCCTTCTTGCCTCAGAGGTATGAAAAAAATAGATCTCGCTCAAGAGCCAACATTAAACCTCAGAGGATGGAGCTCCTTTCTGCAAGGAAAATCAAAGCCAATTGCATAATTGACCTGAGTGGACTATTTGTGGACTGAGTAGATTTGGAGGGTTTTACGTGTTACAAAGTTGTGGCATTTTTAAAATACCAGAAGCCTTTTTCCCCACTGTTTGCACAAAATTATTTTGTTTACAATAAATCTTTTCTACACTTTTTTGTGGTGGTACCAGTTTTGTCTGTTTTCTAGATATGTTGCACGTATTTCATGTCTGATAACTCAGGAAAAAAACCCAACCCAAAACCAAACTGGAAACAAAAGCCCCAAGAGATCTTGAGGCTCAAAAAGAAGTTAGTGAACAAAGACTGCACTTCCAGAGATGGTCTTCCAGGTAATTCCAGCTCTTAGAAATTCCTCACTGCTATACTAGGCATGTAATTTCAAAGATATTCATTCCACAAAACTTTTATGGCTCATCTCCTTTGGCTTAGCTACAGTTCTAACTATCAAGTCAGAGTGGTGCAATTTTCGCAGACAGAGCAGTAACAAAATTATAGTCATTAAAAAAGTAGCTTTATGTCACTGAAAGGCAGAACCTGTTTTTCCCAAGCCAGGGCAAATACCAAGGTTCTGTCATTCCTGTTATGTGTATTAAATTTTAGGCTATCTTCTGCGGTTTTGGTAATGGCTGAAAGTTCACTTTTTCTGTCAAGGAGTGATGGAGATCAAACGTTAAAATAAATTTTTCACCAGAATCCTTTGAGACCTTTGAGCAGGGCAGGAGTTGTCAGTTTTGAAAGCTGGCACAAGCATGCAAACTGCTCAAAGGATTGGAAGGAAGATGAGTCTAACATGAAAAAGGCACATTATGCTTAAAGCTGTTGAATATTTAAAGCTTACAGAACCCCAAGTGAGAAAAAGGCATTAGCATTTGTTTTTACCAAAATGGTTAATTTTCCTTTCAATCCATGAATGAATGGGACAATGAATTACACTAAGTTTGCTTCTTCATTTCATTATTATAAATCTTATGTTATCAGAGCACCTACCCCTTTGTTTTAAAGCAAACTACCATCTTGGATTTTTGCACAGAAAGAAAGGATTTCTCTAAGAGTCTCTAAGAGTGTCTGTTAACAGTTAATATAAAACATTTAGGGCCCTGTAATCAGAGCCTGAGAGGGACACACTGAGGTTTAAGGAGAAGTTACAGCATTAACTTTTCCATCATTAGAAAATCCTTGTCAAAACATTCTTAACTGATGCAAGGGGAACATTGGGTATATTTTTAATGTCAACCACAGTTACACTACAGGAGTATGCTAAAAGCAGGGCTGAAGGAAGGTTTTTAACACTAAGTACATGAAATACAACATGAAGCTGAAAAAGTCAACCATACACCAATGCTGGCAACAAGGAACTGGCCTCCAGGCTAAGGCCATGAGGTATAACTCAAAATCCCTGATTTTAGTCATAAAGAAATGATGCATTTGGAAGATCAGATTGCCATGCAAGACAACTGTCTGGAGCCAAAGACACAAGGATGCACAGCTCTTTGGGGATGAGGAGGAGGAGGGGGAAATAGAATTAAGAAAAGCACTGTTAGAAGTAGAGCTGTCTGGAAATGGTAAAGGTAGAAACCAGCTTGTGAGGTAAATCTTCAGGAACATATTTGATAAACACAAGATCTCTACCTACACTCTGCTCAGGCTTCCTAACAGATCTGCTCGTCTATTTTTAAATTCATAATTATCAGTTTTAATTTCACAATGAAACTTCCCTTCAGTTTCCAAATTTCACAGGAGCTGGTGAGACATCAAGCAAGCAGAAAAAATATACAAGTAGAACATAAGAATTTAAGATTCAGCAGAGTATTAAGATTCAGAGTATTTGGGCAGCAAGGGGGGCTGGTGGTTTTCCTCACCTCTGGAGAATAGATGGAAACCAAAATGAAAGGAAGGAACCCAAAACCACTGGAAACACGTGGGAGTTCACTGAGCAGCATCCAGACAGTTCTGAACACAAGCTGTACAACAGTGGCTTTCTGCCACACTGCAGTTTGTGCCAAGAACACCCCAAAAAGTATTTTTTGATGCTCTAGATTGCTACCAGCAGCTCTCCCTTCACAATCAAGATCTTTGAGTGGCTAAAACCTGGAAACAGAAATCAGTTATTTTATTTCATGAAGGTTACTGTCAGGAAAGGCCAACAGCCAATTTTAAGGGAAATTTGTACCAATGTATTTCCTTTAACTGAATAAAAGAAATTAGGAATGGGTGCATTATCTTAAAATGCTCTATTTTAGGTTACTGATCAATTTGGAGATGAGAGGAGTATTTTGTGATCAAGGGCATAGTTGGCAAGTGGTTAATACCTGGACTTGGCCTGTGTCCCTTGTCTAAAATAGACTTTGTAAAAGGATTTCTCTTTTTTTAATAGTTGCATGACTTTCAGAAGGAGAAATTAAATTTAGAAGAGGCTTCAAATGTGTACCTTACTTAAGCAGATCTGATAAAGTAGACACAAGATAAGACATAGATTTGATAGAAAACAGACAATTGATAAAAAAGAGGGTACAGCATTAACCTTTCGATATCAACAGCTCACTCTTTACATTTGCTGAAAGAATTGCACCCAGAGGAATGAGATCATACATTTCACTCTTGCCTTTGTCTCTTATAAACTGGACTGGACTTACTGTGAATCATTAAAGAGTTGATGAAGCAGAATTGGCATCATTACATAGTCTGATAAGATGGCCAATAGCTGGGAAAGGCTGCAGATATCATTTATTTTGAAAAACAAATGTTGTTTCTCCAGAACAAAGGTTGGATAGCAACAATTAAAAATAACCTTGCTGAGTGCTTCAAATAAAGCAAGGATAATAGAGTTTGCTAAAGGAGGCAGGCAAAGCTGTATGTAAAGGTCAGCTGATAAGAGCAAGAAGAATTTAAACTACAATGGAATAAATAGATTCAAGAAGTGTAACACAGACAGAAAATGTGTATGTTGATGATTGGTGCCACCAAAGTTGCCCCTGGGTACATGAAGGAGAGAATTTATTAAAAGAAAATAAATGTGAAAATTTACCAGCTTGAAATCTTCAGGGAGTCAGCAGAAATGTTATTCTTCCAGCTAAGCAGCAGCCTAGAGCACTCAGTTCCACATTCATTAAATACATGCAATTTTTGCAGTTTCTTATGGAAAAAAAAGCACTTTAACTTTTTCTTCTTCAGATGGCCCAGGGTTTGAAAGCAATATAGTCCCTGGGAAGCATTTACTGGCCAAGAGGCATGAGCACAACAGAGGAACTGTAGACAGAGATGAACAGATCTGGCAGGTAGCTGCAAGAATAGCCAAGGCCTGTGGCTTCCCTGGTGGATTTGGGAAGTATTCATGACTTCCTTGAGAGCTGCCTGGAACATCCAGTATCAAGGCAGGAGTTCCTGCAGTTTGTGAAATAAGGCACTGTTTTCTTTAAGGATAGAAAAGACCCTTTTATATTCACACTGGGAGGCTCAAGTAAAATAATCAGGGAAAAATGCCTGCGCATCTTTAGTTACCACACTCGCCAGGTATTGAAAACAATCAGCTGAAGTCATGAAGGTGAGAAGGATATCAGAGATACCTGTTGATAATCACTTGTACTGCTGGAGGTTTGAGCACAGCCCCTCAGCCCATGCAGCCACTGCCTGTGTCAGTCCAGAGGGATTCCTGCCAGTCAGTGAGTCAATTTTTGAGCTCCTGTTTCAATTACAGAAAGGATGTTAGCATGGGAATCTTTTCTCTCTTTGTTTGGTCTTTTGCACAGGAAATACAAAATTTATCACAAGATTCAAGTCTGCAAGAGCAAGATACTTGAGTATCTTCTGCAGTATATCAGTGTAGTAGACAACAATTAAAATATATAGGTAAAGGGCTCTGTATTTGATTTTAGTTTTTTGCTTTTAAAACACCTCAATTCGAAGCAAATTCTTACTACAACCAGAAATGCAACAAATCTTCCTTTTATATTGCAGCTGGGAGTAGGTTAACAGCAAGTCTTTGAACACCTTCATTCTCAAAATCCTGGAGGAACCTAAATCTCACTCTTTTTTTTTTTTTTTTTTTTCCATTTCCAAATGATCTATCATGGTTAGCAAAGCATGTATAAAAACATGGGGTGGGAAAATAATTTGAAGCTGCTCCTTTTTCCAAAATAAAACTGCATTGAAAAAATAATTTTTAAGTTCTCAAGCCCTGCCAGGCACTCAGGAGCGGGTGTCAAGGTAATAATAAAAGGACAAAAAGGACAATGTCTTTTTTTGGGGAAATACTGATAAGGCAGCAGCAAAAGGATTAGCCAGGCTGGCTGCAGTCATGGACAGTGAAATGTGACACAATAAAAACTCAGTTATTGAGTTAAGGAAAGCCCTTTGGACACAAAAGACTGAAATGAAGAAAAGCTGTGGGTTTCTTTGTTCTTGAATAGGACTTTTTTTCCTTTTTTTTTTTTTTTGTGCCAAAGCATGAAATATTGCAGTGATAACAGAGATTGGATAATAAGAATAAAAACCCAACCAAGGAAAATTCTCTGAGGGTTTTTTTAGGATGCACTGAAAGAGTAATTTTTTTTCTAAACATCACCTGCAACAAAGCAACCCAACAGGTGTGAGTAGGGTGGGACACATTTGCCTGTGTTTGCATTTCTCAGTACAGCTTTCAATTAGAGAGTGATAAAATCACAGGGAAAGACTGGAAAATACCTCTGAAAATGTGGAGTCCAGCTGATAACCCAGTCCCAACCAGGGTTATAATTGCCAGGCCCACAAGTAACCCATGTCCCTGGGCACCATCTGCACAGTTTTTGAACACTCCCAGGGACAATGACACCACCACTGTCCTGGGCAGCCTGTCCCACTGCCTGGCCACAGTTTTGGTGAAGAGATTCACCCTAATATCCAAACTCAGCCTCCTCTGGCATAACTTGAGGCTGTTTCCTTTTGTCCTAGCACTTATTACCTAGGAAAAGGGACTGACCCCCACTTCCTTCAGTCAGGAGCTCTGTCCATTGCCCTGCTGAACAAACCATCTGGGCTTGTAGAAGAAAATAATAATTTCTTACTATTCTTCAACTTTGGGGAGAGCAGGTCAGGATGTTCAGAGAAGTTGTGCAGTGTTTTACGCCATTTTCCTGCTTTGGTTTTGATGCCTCTGGTTTTAGCTTTTATATTTTTCA